GCGAGAGAGTGGGATGGCATGACTAACAGTGCAGTAGCTGTTACCAGTGCAGGACATTGGGACTGGCACAGCAGATTTACAGAACAAAAGTAGCAGAAAGATAGGAACAGAACTGAATAAGGATTACTGTAGAAATTCAAATGATATTCATCAGTACTTGGCGATGAAAATCTTAACCAAAGAAGATGCTGAAGAACTCTACAAATCGAAATAAAACAGAGAAAAGTAAAGACTTTGCAGACTCTGATTCGGCATCGGCTCTAGAGAATTACTGCTCCCACATTTATCCTTCAAGAGCGTCACTTAACAGCAGCCCAAGGAAGCAGGATAATGTGCCAGGATGAACCTAACATGAGCAGATATAGATACCTGATACAACAGCATCATAACAGGATAGTGAGCAGTCAGCAGCACTGGGAAACGCGAATCCTTGCAGCAAAACGAACCGAACCGAACCGAGCCGCCCTCTGCCTGTTTTTTAACCCCTTTTTCGCTCTACAAATACAATTTGCAATTGTTCGTCCCGTGACCAGGAAAGGGTTTAAGCACAGAGTTGAACCGCTGCGTGTACCGTTACCTACGCTACCAGGAATCGCGTTTTACGATCCGTTTCTCTGCTTTTTACTTATTTTTATATACCTCGCATTTCTGTAGTTTTTTGCGAGCCAGTTTTTTCTGTGATATTTTTGTTCTGTTTTTTGTGTGTGCGTGTTTTTTTTGGGATAGGTCAACTCTTTACCGAGAACTTGACCCGATCTATTTAGGTTTGTAGGTTTGTAGGTTTCTAGTGCAGGGCCGCCGCTCTGCTGGAATCGCTCGATTTGGGTGCCATTTTTTCGGGCTGCTTCCCGGAAAGGATTCACACTAAGTTCTAAGTTCTTTTTAATGTTTTGGGATTTTTTTTTTACAAATTGTTATTGCTGCTTCTTGAGGATTTTGGTCTGCGTTTTGACTTTGCATTTGTTGGGTTTTGACTTTATGGGCAGGCAATGCAATTGTGGACAGTCAAGGTCCAAGCCCACTGGCACAGAAATGGTGTCCTTACAAAGGATTTTAACTTTTGCTCGCTCTTGGCAAGCACAAGAAAATAATCGTAGCTTTGAAATATGATAAGAAATAATTAAAGAGCAATAAAATTATTGATTTTATTTTGAAATTTATTGCGAATACATATCTAAGGTGGGATATTCATTGCGGAAGTAAATTTCGAGAACTTTGATTTAAAACAAAAAAAAATGGAATACACTTAGAGAAAATGAATACTCATGGTGCGTGGTGCAAAATCTGGTATCTGGTATAAATAGAGAACAGTAGTAATCTTTGCAAATAGGGCATAAAAAACAGTATCTTTTTTAATGGGCACAAAGAGAGTGCGCAAAAGTCCTTTTTTGTTGTTGTTGTTGTTGGGCCTTTGGGGAAATTTGCTCAACTTAGGCGCGCACCATTTAACATTGAGCAACGAACGAGCAGAGTGGATTACACATGAGAGAGCAGCCGATGAGAGCGCAAGGGAGCAGAAGGACAACGGTAATCGAAACCCGTCAAAATGGCAAACACAACAATGAGCGAAAAGAAAGCAGAGACGGGCAAAGGATGCCCATCCAGAGAGGGAGAGTGAGCGAGAGAGAGAGATAGAGAGAGAATGAGTGGAGTGAGTTCAAAGAAGGGCTAAGCACATTACACGATCGGCATCAAAAGGGAGTGATGTTCGTGTGTGTGTGCGTGCGTGTGCGTGTTTGTGTTTGTGCATTCGATAAAGATCAGCTGCCGAAGGATCAGATCGGAGAATCTGAGGATCTCACATCATCGCTACCCATCTAATGCCGGCTGACAGATTATTATTAGCGTAACATTAACGTCAAATTACGCATCTATTTTGCGCACTTTATCCATGCCACACACTCACTCCCTTGCCCCGCTGCACCAACCGAATGGCGGTGCAACATCAAGGCGCACGGCACACATGTGCAGAGATTTGCCCCCGAAAGATAGAGAGATTACTGGACCATGCATCGAACATGGGCGGGCGGGTAGGCGGGTAGGCGCTGGTCAGTGCGGCATCCTAATGGAATGCGGGCAGGTGGAAGGGAAGGATCTAAGAGATCACCAAGCAGATCGCACCGATATGTGGGAATGCATAACCCAATGAAGCGTTCGAACAGATATGGGAAAGAAAACTTCCTTGAGGCAAAAATCAATTGGGAAAAATATTGCATGTAGCAGCGGCTGGTAAGAGAGCGCAGGAGTACGAGAGAGCAGAGCTTCTTCCACAGTTCCCACTGCCCCGCCCTCACAGTACTAATCCCCACATAATCCTCACGACATGCTGCAGCATCATCACCACCACCTGACGCCACTCCCACACCACGTGGTGGTAGCGGAAAGGGGGGGGGGCTGGGGAAACTATGCGGATGGGGTGGATGGGGTGTATGCGAGGCGTGACAATAATTAAAAGATTTCCAATGTCAACATCGTAAATGGAAGGAAAACAAAGTTGCAGCCAAAACTAAATAGGAAAAGCAAATGCCACCCGTTCCGCCCCCACCACACCCAACTCCTTGGGCGGGGAAAAGCGCACACAAATGTTTGTCTTCCTCGCTCTCTCACTCTCCCACTCACTCACTCACTCACTCACTATTTGTTTGTTTGTTTGTCTCTTTGTTTGTTGATTGAGACGGCTTTGATTTTCGCTCAGCGGATTTTGATGGGGTGTACGGTGTGGGCGGGGTGTGGTGGGGGGGCGGACAGTGGATGTGTGTGATGCGACAAGTGCGTCCCTGTATTTGCAGAGCCGTTATGTGCATAAGCAACAACGATTATTGACATATCGCCAGCGAAGCAGCAGCGGCGAGGCAGCGACAAAGCGACAGCGCAAATAACAGACGAAAAGCATAACTTCGGGTACCGAACGCTTTGATACCCTATAATTAAATATGTCTGTGATTGGTACAAACAATTAGGGCATTTCGATCTCCACAATTTCGATATATGTACATACTTAACCTATGTATAAAGCGTATGTAAAGTCAAAGTTGCATAGTCAATAGCTAAGATAACTAAAGGACTATTACTGTGGATGTCGAATATCATTATGACAAAAATGAATTTAAAATCAACATACCTTCCACTGCTAGGGTATCGTTACCTCTCCTTCGTTCTATTCCATCCATCCATTCCATCCCTCCTCCAACGCAACCATCCACAAGGCACATGCAAATCGAAATGCAGCGGTAAATGTCAATGCGAACGCGTGTCTGTGTGTGTGCCTGTGTGTGCTCTCTCACTCTCGCTCTGCCCAAAAAGTCTCCAAATCCAAATTGAACCGCTGGCTGTTCCCCTCCACAACCAAACCCCTGGCCAAGCGGCGGTCGTGCGTGAAATTTAATCAAAGCAAGACTCCACTCCTTTACACACGCTCCCGGCCACTTTCTCACACCACTTCTTACTCACTCTTACCCTCCTCTCTCTTTCCCTCACCCACATGCAGCCATCAATGTGGCCAAAACAGTTTTTGGCTATGCCCCAAGCGGCGCCACACCGGAAATGTTGCACATTTGTAACTGTAACTGTGGCACACTCTTTACCCTTGTAGACGCGGAGGTGAAAGAGAAGGATATGAGCTGGCAAGTGTGTAGAGCAAGGACAAATCTTGAGATATGTGAAAGTTTTCCACAAAAGTGCAAATTTCTGTCAATTGTTGTAAATAGAACTTCCTTTTCCTGTGCTTGATGGGACAACGAGTGGAGCTGTTCGACGGTGGGAAGAGGAAGTGCTGATGTCCGTTGCTGCAAAGAGGGAAGAGATGTACAACAGTTGTTCGTTTTGTTACGTTGAAAGAGAAGTGAAGAGGGCAAAAAGTGAGTAAAAAACTATCACGAAAATCAAACTTGGCGCCCAACTTGCTTTTGCAGAGAGTGCAGCCCTGGTTGGGGTGCTCTGGCAGCCCTGCCAGCAGAATCTTGGCACAAAAGAAAAACAAAATCAGCTGAACCGCAGACGAAGAATCAGAATAAGCACAGAGAGAAGAGGAGAACAGCAACAAAAAAGTTGAAGAGAATCGCACGTTTATTTTTAAATCGTTTTCCCCCCGCGAGCGAACGGACCAGTCTTTTTGCTCTCTTCGCTGTCGCTGGCGACGTCGTCACGTGGAGTACCAGCGGCCGCAGTCGCTGCCATTCTGCGTTGCTATTGTTATCGCTGTTTTGCTTTTAATCGTCAGTTTTATTTGCGGTCTACTTTGTGCTCTTTACGGTTCGAGTACAGTGGGAAAAAAGTGTTGGGGGAGTGCTTTCATATATGTACATATGTATGTATGGATGTATGTGCATTTGCAAATAATTGCGAACATTCCGTACTGCTTTTACTTATGCATACATATGCATAAATTTGCTTTGTTTTGTTCCATTTCGATTTAATTGTGGATTGACATGTGCCAGCAAAGAAAGCAGCGCAGCGACCGCGACTGCAATTCTGCAGCTCGCATTTTATTTCGCTCTCTGCTGCATACCTAGCGTACAGTGGAGCAAATGTGTTAAAAAAGTGCGTTTGTCCACAAAGTATATCCCATTGGAAATGATTTAAACAATTTTCTTCATTTTACTGGTTGTTGATCTCTTGCTATTTGCTTTATTGACTAACAATGGAGAAAATATGTTGATAAAAATGTTCAAGTCAGTCAGTAAATTTGGTTAAGTCTATTTCGACTTCGATCCCACTGTGGCTCTGGCTCTGCCATGTGCCGCGACTTCAATTCTACAGCTTCGTTCTTTCTCTCTCTTTGCGATCTCAGCCTGCTCTGCCCCCCGCAAACACTCTTGCGGTTAATCAGCATGAGATGATGGGGGCGTCGGCGTCGGCTGTTTGTGGACTGTGAACTGTTTTGCTGCTCTCTGCTGCTGCTGCTGCTGCTGCTACTCTCTGCATTTGAGGTTACTCTCTGCTGCTGCGGTTGCTGCGGTTTTGCTTTGTGCTTTTTGTTGTTTCTTTGTTGTTTTGCTGATATGCTGCCGCCGTCGCCGTCGCTGCCGCTGCTTGTTGAGTACCGCTGGGCAGCGGCGTTCTGTTGCTTTTTGGGGCCTGTCGTGCCGGCGTCGTTGTGGTGCTTACAAGCGTGCTTTTTTTTATTAATACTATTATTAATATTATTTTATTTGGTCAACGCTCTCTCTTGTTCCGGTTCCGCGTTTCTGTACTCTTTTTGTCTGTCCGTGTGTGTGTGTGTGTGTGTGTATGTGTGTCCATTCGCGTCTCTTTTGCGTCGTTTGTCTTCTTCGCGGTTCCCTTCTTCTGCCGCGCACGCTGCTTCTTCGGCCACTTCCAATGCTGCTGCATAGCTAGCATTTAGTGGTTTTTTTTTTTACAAATGTGATATAATTTTGTTAAGTATTTATTTATTTAATTGCCAAAAAAAAAACCGCTGAAAACGCACACACAACACAAGGAATTCCACGTAGTAGCAGCACTCGCAGTCGCAGCCAACGCCAGCGGCAACCGAGTCCCCCAGCCGCCGCCACAATGGTCTACTCCACCAACATTCTGCTGGCCATCGTCACCATCCTGACAGCCGTTTTCGTGTGGTCGCGTCGCACCTATGTCTACTGGCAGCGCCGTCGCGTCAAGTTCGTGCAGCCAGCGCATCTGGTGGGAAACCTCAGCAAGGTGCTGCGTCTGGAGGAGTCGTTCGCCCTGCAGCTGCGACGCTTCTACTTCGACGAGCGGTTCCGCAACGAGCCCATCGTTGGCATCTATCTGTTCCACCAGCCAGCGCTCCTCATCCGGGACCTGTCGCTGGTGCGCACCGTGCTCGTGGAGGACTTTGTGAGCTTCTCGAATCGGTTCGCCAAATGCGATCTGCGGCACGACAAGATGGGCTCGCTCAATCTCTTCTTCGCCAAGCAGCCAGAGTGGCGGGAAATACGGACGAGGCTGTCACCCGCCTTTACGGGGGCGAAGATTAAGCAAATGTTCTCTCTGATGGAGGAGGTGAGTCACAGGCAGGGAGCGACAAAGAGAAAGAGAGAGAGAGAGATTAACATTCGATTTCGGTCGCCTCCCTCGAACTTTTAAAACCTACACTGTCCAACAAAATTAGGGGTCAAGGAGCGGAAGCAAATACTCTCACGCTATGATAGTAGGTGTGTCCGAGGGAAAAGAAGGTGCAGAATATTTACACTACACACCGAAATTATTTCTATATTTGTGGAGTGGAACCGTATCACGCTGATAAAAAAATGTGACTCTTCAGGCTGTCAAAGTTTTCGCCTTATCATCACAGGTTTTTTTATTTTTATTTCTTGTTAATTTTTCTATCATTTGTTGATTCGGAATATTCTTATCAAAGGTCACAAAGTATCGAATGTTGCCCGCAGAGATGGGTACACATATATATTCTCTACAGTGGATGCTCGATAGCTGAAAACGGCCAGTTCCGGTTTGAATATTTATATCAGGCGAATCTACTATTACTTTTTCAAATAGAATGTTTTAAATATAACAAATCATGAATATCACAATCTACACAATCCATTTGCGATATATTCTTGTGGATATTTCTTAGGTATATACACAATTTAAAACTTTAGTCTGAACCAAAAATTTGCATGCAAAAAATAGTTTAAAAACACGAAAAAAAACACACTTGCAATTCAAATTTGTTGCTGCCCAGTGTGATATGAACAGGTGTTACTTTTTGTTTTGTTCTTTGCCAAAGTAAACAATAAAACACTTCAGACCAACCGTTTGGGTTCAGCCGAAAGTTTGTTGGATAGTGCCAAAAGCAGTTTATCAGGAAAAGCCAGCAAATTAGTTAAGTGACACGCCAAAACACCAGTGAAATATAAACCCAGAACCGATGCAAAGACTTTAATCGTGTTGTCTAGTGTAATGTCAAACTTGTTTTATTTTTCAAAATGATTAAAATATAAGCAAACTCATTCAGAAAAAAAACAATAGAACTTTTGTAGAAAATAGTCACAGCAACAAACGGAAATGAAACATTTGAAACGAAGCTTTGGATACCCTTCCAGATTCATCAGTCCCAGTCCCAGTCAGTAGCCATTAGAAATATTTATGCAGTGAAGATAAATATAGGATTGAGTGAAGCTACTACATATGTATTATTTCTTTTATCTTCCTTGATTTGTAGCTTATATATATGTATGTACATACATAATATTGCATATACCTTTATGTTTTCCGTAGTCTTTCAGCTATGAGATCCAGTAGCTGCAACTCTTTCCAAGAGTATAACTTTATGGCAGCGAAAGTGCTTCATTCTGAGCAATATCTGAGCAGTATACTATATTGAAATATAATCTTAAATGTCAAATTTCTAATGGTTGGCCTCTTTTTCAGATTGGCTGCGACTTGGAATGGTATCTGAAGAGACTGACGCGCGATATGCGGAGAAGTGACGCCTCCGCACGCGGTGTGATCGTGAGCATTAAGGACGTGTGCGATCTGTATAACACGGACATGATCGCAAGCATCGCCTTCGGCCTGAGATCGTATAGCCTGAGGAGCACGCAGTCGGAGATCGGCTCACACTGTCAGGACCTCTTCCGGCCGAATGTGCGGCGTATAATCGACTTTTTCGTGATATTTTACCTGCCCAAGCTGGTGCCGCTGTTACGGCCCCGACTGTTCACGGAGCCGCATGCGGAGTTTCTGCGCCGGGTCATCCAGCTGGTGATCGAGGAGCGGGAGCGTGGCGGCGACCTGCGCAACGATCTCATCGAGATGCTGCTCACCCTCAAGAAGGAGGCGGATCTGCAGAAGGACAAATCCCACTTTACGCACCATCGCGACTTTCTGGCCGCCCAGGCGGCCAGCTTTGAGGTGGCCGGCATCGAGACATGCTCGGCCAGCATGTCCTTCGCCCTCTACGAGCTGGCCAAACAGCCCCTCATGCAGGCCCGACTACGGCGCGAGATACGCGAGACCTTCCAGGAGTCGCCGGCCGGGGCGCTCAGCTACGAAATGATCGCCCGGATGAAATACCTTGAAATGATTGTCGAGGAGACGCTCCGCAAGTATCCCATTGTGCCGCTGCTGGAGCGTGAGTGCACCCCCATTAACAAGAAACGCTTCTACTCGCTCCGTCCGCACGCCGAGTGCTATGCCCGTCGCGGCATGCCCATCTATATATCCAATCTGGCCATACACCATGACCCAAAGGTGAGATGGCAGGCCCCAAAATGAATCTCTTGCCACAGACTTGTGTCCATATAGTTATTGGGTTTCTGTTGGCAATGTTGCCTCCAATTGGCATTCCCCAATCTTATCGTGTGCCAAGAGCATTGAATTGAGTTCCAGCTACCGCAGAAATCAATAGAAATTTGCTATCTAATTATTTAGATGGTTCCTAGGAACTTTTATACCACAACCAACGACTATCTATAGAAGCAAAAGTCCCATGTCAAACTGCCTATAAATTATCTGAAACCTGTTCGGTTTAATGGGTACATAGTTTAGAAAGTAGAATAAGTCAACATCGATATACGGAGCTGTAGATAATTATTTTGAATCTCTCTCTCTCTCACTCTCTTTTTGCAGTACTGGCCGGATCCGGATCGCTTTGATCCAGAACGCTTTAGTGCCGAAAATAAATCACATCAAGCCCCGATGTCGTATCTGCCATTCGGCGCCGGGCCCAAACATTGCATTGGCATGCAGATTGGCCAATTGCAAATAAAACTGGGACTCATATACTTTCTGCGTCGTCATCGGGTCGAGTTCTGTGAGAAGACTGTCGAGCGCATCAGCTTTGATGCGAAGTTTGCGCTTTTGGCCAGCGAACACCGCATTTACCTCAAGGTCGCCGAATGTTTATAGCGCGCCTTATCATCATCACCTTTGTTGACAGAAGCAACGACCGACCCGTCAGCAGTCATCATTATTAGCCTCCCCCCCCCCAATCTTTGTCATCGTTGTGATTTTCGTTCTCGTCGTCGTCGTCGTCGACATTGTCATCATTTTGCCACATTGTATATACCACACAGGGCATGCCTCAAATAAATTTTGCTACGTCCTTTTTTTTTTTTGTATTTTGCAACGAAAATGTTCTACATTTTATCTTTGTTTAATGCCTGCGTGAAGGCGGGACCCCGGGGCATGGGGTCTGATGGCTGGGGGCGGGGGGTGGCGGCGGCAGTGACTGATAGCTTATCAGCGCACGAGTGGCGAGTGCTTTGGGCTTTGGCTTTGCCTTTGCGCCCGGTGGCCTGATCGGCGGGCAGGTTAGATTCGATGCGGTTCCGTTTGCACTATGGGGACGGGGCTGACTACGTCATCGCGTGGGGCGGACTGCGACCGGGCCCGGACCAGTCACTCAAGACTCATAAACAGACGTTCAGGTTTTTGTGTTTGTCTCTGCCAGGGCTGGTGGCAACGTGTGCTCTGTGATGCATTCGAGTGGCCCAAAAATATGTTGGAAATGTGAACTGATATTAAATAAAATGAATGTTTAAGGCAAGCAAATAAATGCAGTTAAGGCCTAAACCATTTTGTGCTCTAAATAATCGTGGGCTTAAGTACTGTAGTAGATTTTGGAAGTTAAAATCAGTTAAGAAAATGATATATAATTAATAAAAAAATTCGCAAAAAGCTCCTGAATTTATACGAATTTTTTATTTATTTGTAATTTAATTTAATTGGATCCAATATAATATAATATGAGGGCTATCCAATCAGAATTAAAGTTAAACAAAAAAATAAAATCTTTTATATTTCTTTATAATTAATATAATTAATTACTAAAAGCTTTATACATATGTAGTAAATCTTTAAATGTAAATTAAAGTACAAAATTGTAGCTCTATGATATACATACATACATATATATGTATGTAGGTCAATAGGTCGATTGAGTTAATGCTACAAAACGTAGAAAGGAACTTGCTCAACAAAATGCATACAAAAGTCGTCTTTTGGTAAGTTTTTTGTGGTACACTTTTCATGGTGGTACAAATCGGGTAGGTCCACCCCAAAGCTCAATATTTGAATTTAGTCGAAAGCTCAGGTGATCGTATCGAATGTGAACCGGTTTGGCAGGCCTCAAGAGAAGCAGTTAAGAACCCCTCTTCAAAACCACAAAACTACTCCACTTTCACGCTCATTCATTCGCCGCACTCCAGTTGTTCCCCTCTCGGCAATCGAAAGCTCCACCACCACTCGAAAGCTTCATTCAATGCTGATTCTGACGCTGGCAGAGCGTTGGCAGAGGAGCTACCTCCGTTGGCTTCTGCGTCAGCGTTAGCGTTAGCGGCGTTATGCAAATGCTCACACCCAAAGCGGTTGAGCGGGCGTTCGGCCAGCGGCGGTGGCTACGGCGGAAAACCGAAGGGTTTTCATGATTTCCGTGGAAAAGTGAGCGGCGGCGGCGGCGGCAATATCGAGTGCAATGTGCCGCGCGCGGCCTCAACTCTTTGAGCGGAAAACCCCGTACAAACTCTTTTTTTTTTTTTCTTTCTGTTTTCTTGGTTTTGTTGGTTTTGTGTTGTTTTTGGGCTGTTTTTATTAGACCGCGAAAAATCAACAGTGGCCGAAACGGGGCACCGGGGCATTGGGTGGTCCCTTTTCTTTCTCTACTTTAGCTGCTTCTTCCTCGTGTTTTGTTCTCCTCTGTTTTACTGTCTTCTGTGTTGTTTGGTCCTTCCGCGCACGCCGCTAAAAGGGTTTACGGCAATGTCATAAAGCAATCCCTGCCAGCGAGAGGAGGTTCCATAAGCAAATATGCAGTAGGAAGGCTCTTTCGCAGTCGCATTAGCTGTCCAAGTCCGCAGTTTAGTCTTTCTGCCATGTGATTTTTTGCCCTGGAACATGGCAGAAAAACTAAAGCTAGACAATTGTATGCTAGAAAATATTTGTTTATATATTGTAAAATTTATAAAAATAACGAAATTACATTTTAATTGGTTTGGTTTTTTTTTTATATGATTCAGGCAAAGTTGATCGCAAGTAAAAAAATAAAAATAAGACACTTGTCTTTGCTTCAGCCAAAGCTCTATAAAATAAATATTTTCTGCAATTTTGTAATGTTTATTTTTATTTCAATTTGGTTTATGTTTGCACTCCATAATCTAAACGTAAAAAACTCAAGTGGTAAAAACAAATAATAAAATTAGTTTAGCGATAATTCACAGATAAGGACACACGTAAAAAATATTTTATTTCGTACAAAAAGAGTTTTTTAAGAGGTGTGGGATTTTTAAACTACTGCGCGTGGCTAGTTTCAGTGGGTTGAGCTATAAAAAAACAATCCTAAATCCAAAGTTTAGATATTAAGGATGCAAAGGGATGTGCAGAGCCGTGCTTAGCTCTGCGTGGACGATTTATAATAATGGATTTTTGTACCCAAAAATTTGTATATGGGTATCTTCAAAGCTTTGAGAAATTTTAAGTAGATTGGAGGACTATATTGGACAAATTATATTTTATAGAGAACATAAGCACAATGGAACTGCAAAGGTAACGGGGTAACAAGGTATCCAATAGGTCGCCGAAATTTAATTTTCAGTCTTATATAAACTGATTGGGCTTTGCCAAGACCCCAAAAAGCTAAAGATGATCATATGGTAGGGGAATAGAATCATTGAGTGTAACTTAAAAGCCTTCAAAGTGCAGTTATGTCTCCACTTATTAATCAATGGCATTTAGAAGCACTTTAAATTAGAGTTAAAGGATGCCATTGCATTACCCTTATGGTTGGCTCTCTAGCTTCTTGAGTTGTTGTCAAAGCCCAAATGGAATATTCTATGGAATTTCGGTTCTCAGATCTTTTGCGTCACCCTGGATAAATACATACATACATATGTACGCAGTTCTCTTCCCTCTGTTAGCTGGTGTGTGTGTGTGTTTCCTATGCAAATGAAAATAACCTGCGTTTTTGGTTAAAGTGAATGAAGGGAAAGAGTTGTAAGTAACTGCCGCCGCTTCTGCTACAGTTGCTGCCTTCTAGGAATCATTTGCGCCTCTAACATGGTCTATATGGACAGGGATATGGACATGAAACCTTGTCCCTCAGCGATAATTTACATAAACCTACGCAAACATCAAAAAGATGCCAAAAAAAAAAAAAAAAAAAAAAGAGAAGACACACAGGCACGAATGTGGAAAGGGTCAAGAAGGAGTGGTATGAGAGGAGTATGAGAGGCAGCTGTTTAAAGGGCCCTAATTAGAGCCTTTGCTCCCACGCACGTGTTCCGCTTCGATCAGCTAGCACTTGTAGGGTTCGAAGTGGCTATTCCCACTACGATATACGCGGGGGTACCCTATCCCATATGCATATCCCTAGGACTGTGACTGGAACTGCGACTGGAACTGGCATTGGTCTCTGACAGTTGCTGTTGTTACGGTTCACCATGACCAACGCCAACAATTACCGAAAGCCGCCGCCGCCGCCGCAATTCTATTGTCTTTCGATTTCCTGGCCTCCTCTCTCTCTCTGTCTCTCACTCTGGTCTTCCTCTTCATCTCCTTTAGCATTCGTTTTTTATATTATTTTTTTTTTACTGCTCATTTCCCACATGTCGCGCGCTCCCTTTCGAATGACACTTGCAGTGTCGCTCCCTCCACTTCTCCTCCTATCCCTGCAGCCATCCCTGTCTTTCGAAGTCATTTTAATGAGCCCAAATTACTGGAAATACTCGCACTGCAGCTCAATCATCCAATGCACATGTCAAATGGCTCTCGCCAGCGGAAGTTGGCTCAGAAAGCAGTTAGCCAGCAGTTGGCCAGTGCCAGTGCCAGTGCCAGTGGGCACCTCGCCCCAACTCCGACAATCCGGCATTCAGCCAAGCAGCCAAGCAGCAAAACCAATTAAGACGCTCGAACAGTTTTTAAACGCCCGCCATTAAGGGAATTATGATTAATAATTATTAATGAACGGGCTAGGGGTTGGGGTAGGCAGGGGTTCCCACTGCTGCCCCCCCAGCACCTCACTGCCGGCTGTGCTGCATTCGATTAAACGAATAAATGCTTCGATTGCATTTATCGAGATGCCACTGTGCAATGTGCGGAGATTTCTTTTACAATTTCTTATGCATTTTTCTTAGAATTCAATTCAGAATTTATTTCAAGAATAACTCATCGTATTTTCTTTATTATTAGTTATTAAAAATAAACTTTAAATTGTTTTTTGACTCAAAATTTATTTTTAATAATATTTTCCATGATCTATGTATATATGTATGCACTATATATGATTTTCCACCATAATTATAATCGCACACGGTTTATTTTAAGATTAAAATATCTTCATTTTTTTTTCTTCATAATTTTCAATGGATTATTATTTTTAAATTTAAATTTAATTTTAAATTTAATTTTTAATTTTAATTTATTGTTGCAATTTTTATACGCTTTTATTTTACAATTTTAAAAAAATGGAAAATGTGCATAAATAAACTTATCGTTGAGCAGTAATATTTGCATCTTTATTGCAATGATTTGTATAATTTTTCACATCACTTTTTCATTGCCCCAATTGTCCCAGATCAGATGCGGTGCATCCTTCCGGTTCGCACTATTCCCACTGCCACAATGCAACAAAGTGCAGTTTTCAGTTTTATTAATGGATCGTCTTTGATGTGCTCTGCATTTAACGATCATGATCCATGCTGCCGATGATCGTTTCGCACATTTTTGTCTTCTCTGCTCGGCATCCACATCCACAGCCACAGCCATGGCATCATCTGTGTGTCGGTGCCGAGGTAAATAAACCCATCCAACATTGTCATAATATGACAAGTATATAGGGTAAAATGCTGGACAAAAGAGCGCGACAGATCGTCTTGTTTGGATTTTTATGAATGGGTGAGAGCGTATGAATGAATAGTGTGGAATGGAATGGAATCGCAGGCAATGGAATGGTGCAAGTGATCCAGATGGAGGAGATGATGCTCGTCTCGATTCGCATCTTAATGCGCTTAGGACGGGTTGGGTTGGGCTGGGTTGGGTTAGGTTGTCATCGGCCATGCCAAGTAAATGTAATTCAAGTAGCCGCTCTGCTCTGCTCTGCTCTGCTCCTCT